CCATTAAAGAGGCACCACTTCGAAGTTCGAGAGACCTATTCTTTGTTCTCAACTCCTCGTTCTCGTTCTTATTGCTTCTCACAGCTAGGGTTCTATTCAAGAGATTCGACTTTATATAGTTCGGTATTCGAATACTGTACTAAGTCGTATTGATTCAGTTAGTTGGAAACGTCGAATAGAAAGGTTCTATCTATGCTGCGCAGGGCACAGCCTTGCTTATACTAGATTAGTTGAACCATCCCCGAAAGCTGAAGAAGACAGAGGGTAAACAATCGGCTAAAGTACTTCATTCTCTTGAAAAAGGAAAGCTACGAAGGAAGATGCCGAATGATGGGAGACGACAGGGAGTTCTCGTGGAGGATCAACTATGAGGTAATGTAATTGCTGTTGAGAACGAAAATGCATCCTGAAGGTGATTTATCATCTAAGTATTTAAAGAGGATTTAAAGCCCTATTTTATGGTATTCCAAGTCCTCCTCGACTTAGGTCTCATCTTATTCGCCTATCTATTAGGCTCACCTTCTTCTTCCTGTTCACCTGTAGGCTCATCCCCGGGCTCTTCTAAGCTAGGCGACTCACCTAATCCTACCCTGGATTCTTCCTCTTCTACGCAACATCCTCGCAAAATGACCCAACTTTAGAAGCGCAGTTCAGTCATAGAAAGACCTTCGTTCTGTCTAAGAATTCTCTATCTGGTAGTACCACTTTCTCACTCAGTAGACCACCATGACGAGGCATCGTCAAATACAACGTGCCGAGAGATATATGCTTTCTTGGCCATAGCCAGAATCCCCCTTGCACTGATATAGAGTCGGCAACTTGACTTGCAAGGGCTTCTTGGTATGGAATCAAGAGCTCTTCCGCTCTTACCAACTGGTCTCCTTTTGACCGGCTCTACTTGATTGGGGATAGACGACATCCCTTCTCTCAGGTCGGATCGCTACTTTCCGCCTCGCTTTCGCATAAATGGAAAAAGTCACTTTTCTATCACATTTCAAGCCTCTTTGACTGAACTTCGCTTCGCTTCGTTTATCCTCTCCTTTTCTTTTAGTCGAGCATCTTCAAACCTTTCGCGTCTAGTCTCACTTTGCGATCCTGGCCTGAGAGATTTCAAAACTCCTACTGGTCTGCAACTCGCTCGAATTAGATTATCCCTGGCTTAAAAGGAAGTCCCTTGATCTGTCAATGACTCCTAATCGACTGGAGAGCTCACTTCACTTTCTGGCAGTCACTTCGGATATACCTTTTGTCTTTGCCTTACCTATTTAACAGGATACTGGCTAGCTTGAAAAGAGTGCTAGCGAACTTGCTTTTGACCTAGAAGCAGCTATATTTGAATACCCCGCTGACTTAAGATTCAGATTAGCTGGAGGTGAAGACCTTAGCATTGGCTTACACGGACTCCTCTCTCAAAAGAAAGGGTACTGGCACTAGACAAATTACCTACTGGTAAAGTAAAGGGAGGACCAGAGCAGCCACATAGGGCAGTTTGACATCGAGATAGCGGGTAAAGACAGATAGTCCTACCAATCTAGTTAATAAGAACCCCCGGAGAAAGTTCACAAGTAAGTTCCCCTGCCTCGGGCTATCTCAGGAAAGAGTTGGGAGCACATTCTTTTCACATTGAGAAAGGAGCGCCCTTGGGAATGCGAAAGAGAAGAAGCGGGGTTTCTGGTCAACTCATCGGGCGCATGACCTGAAGATTGCAGGTTCGAATCCTGTCCCCGCCTAATCACGTCAGATACTTGTACGAGTCCTGATCACCTGGGTCAAAGAATCTATGTTCAAGTCGCCTGCCTAACAAATAGACGACTGCGTACTGTAGTTAGTCTGTTCCGTTGGTCCGATCCTACCATGGAAAGTGTTGCTGTGTCAAATCGAGATTGTGTGGGTGTTTAGGTTTCTTATTCAAACATCATCCCAGCCTTAGTGGCCCCTCTCTGATAAGGTTTGAAATCAAAACGAAAAAAAAATGACAAATCTGGTCCGAATCTTCTATATTTATGTTAATTTATATTTTCCAATACTAATACATTCGATTTTGTTTGCGGTATCCTTGTACTTTATAACGCTCAAATTCTTCCTTCTTCTCTTGCCCTCTACTTTCATTTGCGCCGGAAGCACTCGTCTTCGCTTCCTCATATAGCATAGCAGCTGGTGATATTAATCTTATGAACAACGATGATTTATCACGTGCTGTAGCACCATTTCTCCCGCGGGGAGGGGGGGCTCCAGTAACCCTTCCCTTCGAACGGGTGAACAGGTAAACACACAGGCACGAACAAGCGTCAAAGCTAGTCCGAATGAAGGAACGGTCGAAAGAGGCGTACGAATGACCGAATCAGTGTATTTTCGTAGGGCAACTTTCCTCTCCCTAATTTGACTTCACTGCGCTTCGAAAAGTTTGTAGACCTTAGCCTCGTGGCTTATGTAGTGGTCGATATATTTCAAAAGGGTGGTAATTATTTGCTGACATCTTCTGTGCCTAACTCCGATAGGACCCTGCTGTCACCGTGCCAGTTTCCAGCCATGATTCGATCGTGACACCGGCGAATTTGGAGTTGGTTAGTAACCACATCACCATCGCGCGGTGCAGCTCGTCGACGATCATCCTCCGCAGGTTCCTTCTCTTCTTTTAAAGACAGTCTTATAAGCAACTCTTTCAATCCACCGGGAGTTGAGACTCACTAGATCCTGCAAATGAGCATGATGAAATTGACGAAGCCCCGTCTTCTACGGTGTTTAATCTGCCGGTGATAGTAGGCCGTGTTTCTGTCCCCCAGATACGCGTAGAAGAGTCCGTCAGTCTAATGTGGGACTGTTTTCTAGGCTCAAGCTATTAGCTGGGTTTGAGACTCCCTAACCTCTCGTTCCAAGTATGTAACTCGTTCCTATCGGTTGAGCCACTCGACTCTTTTATTCCCTCAACCACTTTCAATAAATTCAATAAATAGCAACTCTGCCCAGAGAGTTAGCATCTTTGGTTGGTCCTACGCTCCTCTCCCACTTCACAACTCCGTACCCCATTCTCTTTCCCGTGGAGCTGGCGTTGTAAGAGTCGTACCAACTCACTTGAGCTACTAAAAACCGGAGCTTTTAGCCGAGAAAGCGGCTAGTGCCCTTCCTTCACCTAGGACTCCCGGCCCTAGTAAATACTAAATAGGGGAGGCATCTCCTTGTTATTGATCTCTTTTTGATCTATCTCTATATCGGACCAGGAAAGAAGAACCAAAGCGCGCGCAAGGTCAATTACATCGAGCCAACTCCGTTGAGGAGTGGATTCGCACTGAAGCGCTGTCGTCGACTGATCGCATTGATTTGCATGTTCTAAAATGGCCTTCGCGGTCCGTATGAGTTATTCTCTCCATAAACAGAATGGGGAAATGGCTTTTTCATCCAAGCTTGCATTCTTTTTCTTCCACTCCCCCACCTTAGCAGCCGATACCAGCTCTAGAAGACCAAAAATCTCCGCCCTATCGAGAGTTTCTTTTCTTAGGTCATCTCGCTGTCCCAGCCGACGTTTTTATTTACCTCAACTTTGTCGACCCAACGAACGAAGCGAAGCGAAGTGAAGTCATAGAAGTTTTGAGGGAAGGAAAGCCGCTTCTAAATGGCGAAAGAGGATAAGTTGCTTAGTCGTGAACCTGCACTACAGAATGCAGTTGCAGTACAGAAGAAGAGGTTCGATGTAATTGACTTGAGACGACGTGGGTACGCCTGCTGCGCAGGAAAGAAAAATAGAATTGGTAGACCAACATAGGCGTACGAAGAGCGCTTTGCTAGAATGGAGCTTTGCCTAAGCAGGCCAGCCGGTGGAAGACTTTACCCTTAAGACGATAGGGGAAGCCCACTCGTTTCGTTTTGGGTAGTGCTATCGACCTTCCCTTTCTTTTGAGGGGACGCTTTTATAGTAAGGCGGAGAATCCGGAGTGAATGAAAAGCCGATAGCACTGGGAATCCCCTAACTTGAAGGGCAGGGCTCTATATATGCATATGCACAGGTTCGATGTAATTGAGTGGATCAGCTCGTCAAAGATAGCCAAAACAAAAAAAAATAGGGCCTATTCTATAAAAAAAAAGAGCCAAGCCGAACTTGTTCCTGCGGGGCGGACTGCAAAGCTTCATCCGGAAAGCATACTTTTTTGAGAGGAATAGATTCTTAGGGGAAGAGGAAGGGAATATTTCATTGCTTATCTTACGAGGGCCCAGAAGCCATAGTCCAATTCAACTATCCCAAGACCTGAACCCTTATCAATGAAAGAGAGAGTCACCCTGAAGAGAACTTGCTTGCCTGCTAAAGCGACTAGTCCACTAAAAGCGAGTAGTCTGAAATAGTCAAAGGAGAAAGGGTAAAGCGCTTGTCTGTCGAGAGAGAGTGGAGAGCTAAAGGAGAGAGAGTCTTCTGTGAAAGAAAGCAGCAAGCAAAGGTATGAGCTTGGGCAGCGCGCTATGTACCTGGTCAAGCACAGGACTGACTGAAGCAGGTCTGCCATTGGCAAAGCAGACTTACAAGGAAACGAATCCAACCTCAACTCAAGACATCTGCTCTGTCCGCTTACTTAAGGACGACTTTGACTAAACCTACTGAATTGGATGAATAGGAGTTCTCCAGTTCAATAGGCATAGGCTTAGTTGCTACCTATCACTCACTCAAGCACCTGCTTTCGCTTCGTTGCCTGTTGGTTGCAGGTAGTCGATTCTGGTCGATTCAATATATCGTATGCAATGAAATTAAGAAATCCATTCCCAACGAACGAAGCGAAGTGAAGGAAAGGTGTAATTGATGGAATTGACGGTGCTAGTCTTTTAGTCGTTTCCAGGGCTCTTCTCTTAGCTTTCGTTAATCTGGGCAAAAGACCCTCTCCTTGTAAGTCGAGCATCTTCAAACCTCCGCTGGCCTTTCCTCCTGGGCACGCTCTCGCCGCTCCTCTTTTGCATCGCTCCGGAAGTCCTAGCTCGCATGCTTAAAAGCTCGATGGTCTCGGGTCGTCTATCTCCCTTCGTGGCCCCTCGCGGTATCATGTTCCCACCCTGCTTATTATATGCTGATGACATTCCTTATCCTGGCAGCAGGAACTAGAGGAAACTGTTCGAGAATTCGGAGCATTCTGCTCCATTATGGAGAGGCCTCTGGCCAGGTATTTAGCCCCAGGAAATCGAAGCTCTTTGTCTCTATTGCCACTACTAGCTCCACCGCCCGCGCTTTGTCTAGATCGGTGGATGTTCCAGTGGGCACCATGCCCTTCACCTACCTAGGAGTCCCAATCTTCAAGGGCGCTCCGTCACGCGCCCATATGCAGGCGCTCTGTGACCGTATCATGTTAAAATGAAAAAGATGGAAAGGGCGTACTCTTTCTATGGCTGGCCGCATCTGCCTTGTTAACTCGGTCATCACTAGTTCGCTGGTTCATAGTATGATGATCTATTGGTGGCCGGCTTCGCTTTTGGAGACCATCGAGAGGGCTTCTCGCAATTGAATTTTGGGGATATTAACACACCGGGAGTGGACACGGTGTCTTGGGACAGATGCTGCGCTCCAACTTCCTCTATGACTTCACTTCGCTTCGCTTCGTTTGTAGAGTCTCACTTCCTGATCGTTACTAGGAAAGAAGAGCAGTCGTGTCTTGCCATTGCTTATGAGCATAGACAGAAAAAGAAAAGTCACAAGAATTTCGATTTTCGGGAAGTATCATGCGATCTTTGGTGCGAAGCCTTCCAAGTGCTGGTATCAATGTGACAAGGAAGGGTATCTCCCCTGGCCCGCTTCTTTGATGTCTTTATAACGGCGGATAAGAATATTTCTTCCGCAAGACCCTTTTCTTTCCTCTCAATTACACCTCTCCTTTTGAGCTCTATGACTTCACTTCGCTTCGAAAAGTTCGTTGGGTCAACGAAGTTGCTGAAGGAGCTCCTGAACAGACCCCAAAACGGTCGGGCACGATCTCAAACTTCTAGGGCGGCAAGGAGATTCCTCGACGAAGACTAGTGAGGCTATAGCCAACTTTAGAAGCGAAGTGAAGTCATAAAAAGCAGGTTGATGAAGGCTCGATATAATTGACCTCGACTTCACGAAAATATCTTCGGCCAAATTGACTTATTTATCCACCTTTCCTGGAACTTATGCCATACCCCGCTCGTTTGAGCTACTGATACAAGATGAATGAATGCTTCGGTGTGAGGGGGAAATGAGCGTTGTTTCACCACAGCAAATTATTTTCTTCTTTTCTTTCAAATAATTTCCACGATAGACCCGAGCAATCCTTCACCGGACGAATCTGTTCTACCTGCCTTTCTCGGATCCTATTGCTGAAGCAGCCCCGAAAGCCAAACTCAGCAACTTGTTAGTTCAGTCATAGAAATTCGGAGAGGTAGGCTCGATGTAATTGACCTTAACTTAACTAGTCAAAAGCAATTGTAGAAATAACGTAGGTGATGTGAACCACTTTCGTTGTAGCGCTTCCATCTCATGGTAGCGAAAGACGATTCCTACTCCTAAATCGCTGAGTGATGGGCAACGATCTCTAATTACCTATGACGAAATGAAAAAGGTAATCGCTTCATTAACAGACAGTCATTCGTCGATTAAGCGCTCAAGAGAAGGGGGAGACAGCGCCACGAAAATGATGGGTTCAGGTAATCCTTTAGTGAAAATGTCCGCCACTTGATTGTTGCTACGAACAAGTCGAATGAGCAATTTGCCTGCGACGACGAGGTCACGAACGAAGTGGTAGTCAACTTCTATGTGCTTAGAGCGGGCATGGAACACAGGATTGGCCGCCAAGTGTGTAGCTCCCGCTGCAGGAAAAATGGATAGCGAAATGGCACCGGCGTAGAAAGTAAGAAAGCCATAAGAGTTCAGAGGTAGTAATAGCGAGTGCCTTGTACTCTGCTTCGGCACTAGACCTGGAAAGAGTCGGTTGCTTTTTGGAAACCCAAGTCAGTAGGGTTTTTCCTAGAAATACGCAGAAGCCAGTAGTGGACCGTCTGCTTGCTATTGGGACAGCCAGTAAGGAAAGCAGGAAAAGAGGGAAGGAGACAGTGTTTAGGTCTAGGATCTAGTAATTGGCTACAGAAAAACTGATACATTCACTGCTTCTGACACAGCTCATAAGTCATAGGTAAGAAATACTCGTAGGGCGTATTCTTCTTAGAGCATAGGATGGTGTCTTTGTCCTTGATTCCGTAGCTTACGAGGGAGGAGTCAACTCAACTTCGCCTTTCCTCTCCCTTTCTCTATGACTACTTATGACTTCACTGCGCTTCGCTTCGTTCGTTGGGGAGAGGTAGTCTAAGCCCTATAAATCAAGGTAGGGTCAAACTGACACACCCACGGAGCGGTAAGGTTGGGATAAAGATGAAAACCTGCCATCACTCCTTCGTCTCGTATGAGTGGATTTTGCATTCCATGCCTTTCTTAGGCAAAGGCACATCAGTCATTTCTTCTACTGTTCTTAGGCAAATTGGCCGAACTGGGAGCAATGGAAATACATACCCCTTGACAAAAACCAATGCTTTGAGTTGGCAAAGGCCAGAAGAATCGCGAAGGAGCAAGCTGTTTAAATAATGGGTGATGAGACTTCGCTTTCTATGACTTCACTTCGCTTCGAAAAGTTCGTTGGATCGCAAAGTGAGACTAGACGTCAAGGTCAATGTAATCTTTAGAAGTTCAGTCATAGACAAAAGAGGTAATTGAGATCCACATTTTGAAAAGTTCTGTTAGGTTCTTAGTAGCAATCGGCGACCTTTTCTTCTTTTACTGAACATAGCTTTTCGTCTCTTTGATAGCTGGAAGTTCTCCAAAAGTATGAAAAGCTGGAGGACTTTGTACCATCCATTCCGGTGTGGTTGGATTCTGTTCAACAGCCCAAGGACTTGGAGCACATCTTTTGTTCTTTCCACTGCTTGAAGTGATTGTTACGACCACGAAGAAACGACAAATCCCAACTACGGATATATAAGAGCCAAAACTGCTAAGAGCATTCCATCCAGCGTAAGCATCTGGATAATCTGGAATGCGACGTGGCATACCCGAAAGCCCTAAGAAATGCATAGGAAAGAAGGTCAGATTAACCCCGAGAAAAGTGATCCAAAAATGGATTTGACCTAAAGTTTCAGGGTATGTCCGCCCAAAGATTTTACCTACCCAATAGTGAAATCCTGCAAATAAAGCAAAAACGGCTCCCATAGAAAGTACATAATGGAAATGTGCAACCACATAATAAGTATCATGTAGAGCAATGTCTAGCCCAGAATTTGCCAGAACTATTCCCGTGAGTCCTCCTATGGTGAACAAAAAGATGAACCCTACAGCAAATAACATGGGTGTTTTGTATTGTATCGAACCCCCCCACATGGTAGCGATCCAACTAAAGATTTTGATTCCAGTGGGGACAGCTATGATCATGGTAGCTGCGGTGAAGTAGGCACGGGTATCAACGTCTAAGCCCACAGTAAACATATGATGAGCCCAAACAAGAAATCCAAGGACGCCTATACTGATCATGGCATAAACCATGCCTAGATACCCGAAAACCGGTTTTCCCGAAAAAGTCGAAACGATATGACTTATGATACCGGATCCAGGCAGAATGAGGATGTAAACTTCAGGGTGCTTCTCTCTTCTACTAATATAAGCGGATGAATAGAAGAAAGGTGGACTATATCATCAACTTATTCCATTTGTCTAGGAAAGCTAGCCATGCTTTATGGTGAATACTGTCAGGTTTAAATGCTTTGAGATCGTAAAGACTGTAATATTCCTCAATAAGGAAGAATCGTCGTGATTTATGACTTCGGAAAGTATTTGAAAAAAAGTAATGACGCATCATGATAACATCTTTTCTACTTTGTATAGACCATTGATAGTAACCATTTTGACTACTATCAAAGTAGAGACTTCCTCCAAATACTACCTTATAAGACTCTACATCTTGTAGAAGTTTATTAGTTACTCGAATACTTAGTTGAGGTAGTCCATGCTTCATAGCTATACTAATAGTACCATCCGCATCAAAGAATCCTGCAAACCAATTTGATTGAGCATAGCGTGTAATAGGTAGAATTACGGGGATTTCCAGTACTTGACAGACACGATGTAGTTGAAGTAGTCGTGCTGAATGTCGAATATGACCATTTATACAATTCATTAGTTTAATCATACCAAGGTTCTTATGTAGTCGATAACGATAAGCTTTAGCACCTGCTCGCATTTTAATACTTCCACCAAGCATATGTTGGATATATCGTAGTAGTGGTAGATCTTCAAGTCCCATAGTAATTTCAAGATAAGTATATCCTTTTTTACTAACTTTCATACTTCCATCACCATCGATAATTCCAGCTAGCCACTCACAGAAGGATGACGGATAAGTTGTTGCGCGTGTAGTCTCTGAGGTTCCTACTAGACTGCTTTTATGTCGTTGGTTACCTGCTGATTCTGTCTTAGATACCCCATTTTGACTAGATCGGGGTAGAAAACCACTTATGAACATAGTAGGAGTACCATTAAGCAGACAGTCCCAGCATATAGCGCAATGCGTATTCAGATTTGAATCTGAAAAGGGCCATTTAAAACCGAAAAACCGAAAGAGATGCTGATATAATATTGGGTCTCCCCCTCCAGCAGGATCAAAAAAGGTTGTATTAAAGTTTCGATCAGTTAATAACATGGTAATTGCCCCTGCCAGTACCGGAAGTGATAATAAAAGTAGGAATGCTGTCACTAGAACGGACCAAACAAATAGGGGTGATCTATGCATAGTCATTCCAGGTCCACGCATGTTGGAGATAGTTGTTATAAAATTGATAGAACCTAAAATGGATGAAACACCAGATAGATGAAGACTAGAAATTGCTAAATCAACTGCTCCTCCAGAATGGCTGGTAATACCACTTAAAGGCGGATAGACCGTCCACCCAGTTCCGCTACCCACTTCTACTAAGGCTGAGCTTAATAGGAGCAAGAGACTTGGTGGCAACAACCAGAATGAAATATTATTTAATCGTGGAAATGCCATGTCAGGCGCACCTATCAGAATCGGAACAGACCAATTACCAGATCCACCTATCATCGCCGGCATAACCATAAAAAAGATCATTAAAAAGGCGTGAGCCGTTATTAATACATTATAAAGTTGATGATTCCCACCAAGAATTTGATCGCCGGGTCGTGCTAATTCCATACGAATCAGTACTGAAAAGCATGTGCCCATCACTCCAGCAATGGCACCGAAGATGAAATATAGAGTCCCTATATCTTTGTGGTTAGTGGAGAACAGCCATCGGACCGGATTTGTCATATGGATTTTTTGATTATAAAACGAGTGTCGCTTCTCGCTCTACAAATGAGGGAAGACTTGTGCAAATCGATTTGCGTTGGTTTATCCAACGTGTAACTAATGAACAATAGATTGACAGAAAGAATCCTGGGCTGAAACAGCTCCTGTAGTAGGAGGAGTCAATTGCACCAAATCGTCGACTTCACTTCGCTTCTAAAGATTGCATTGTACTTTTGTCTGTCGAGCATTCGCTGATAGACCTATTTCGTCTTAGGTTATTTGTTCGTGGGTTCATTAGCAAGATATGGGACTCCACCTGCTCATGCAGGACTGGTCTTTCCCATGGTCTTACCAACTGATCTACGACCAAACAAACTTTTCGAAGCGAAGTGAAGTCATAGAAGCGAGTAGGGACATGTAAAGCTAGTTAGAGAAGCTCTTAGGCCCGGATCACCCATTTTTGTCCAGCTTTTGAGGGAATGATAAGTAGCTCGCAACCAAAATGAAGGTATGATTCAATCATCTATCTTTGATAATGCCTTTGATAGTGCGATAGTCTCTTTAGCAAGTAGGCCAATCCGGGAATGAACTAGCCAGCCAGTTACTGTAGCCAGGATTCTATCGAAAGCCTTTATGATACTATTTTTTGCACTATATAGAATATACAAGGAGGGAGTAAGAAAGTGTATGTACTACGGGCAAGTTCAAGTGAAAGCTCTAGTCGTCAGTCTTTAAGGGAATCTTCTTTCTTTCTGCCAGTAGTAGCTAGCGCGAGGTGCCATAATGAAGGGAAGCGAATCAAGTGGGGGCTGATTCTAAACTAAGGGCATATCATCTTATCTTGGAAGGGAAGGAGAGCAAAGTGGTAGAACGAAGCGAAGCGCAGTGAAGTCATAAAGGAGCGTCCTTGATTCAAAGTATCTATATCCCAAAGGGGAAGCAACTGAGCTTTATTTGATAGCTGCCATCAAGATCAAGACAGAATGACTCTTTGCACGATTCCACAGCTATTCTATTGAATAAGCGGATTTTCCTACACGTTCAGCATCGGTTCAGTTCATTCCGTACTGCTCACGTCAAGGACCTTTTCCCTTCTCGAGGAGAGGTCAATTACATCGAGCCAACCACTGTCCTTAGTCTCCCTGCCTCTGACCTCACTATATCGATATCCGAACTACCGATCTTAGGAACTCTATTTTACTCGTTAAGCCCGCTCTGATTGAAATGGAAGAGATCGCCTCAACCCACTGGGAAAAAACGAGTGACGTAGGCTACCGACATCACTCATCTGCGCTGACACATGCTATCTGGACTTGCAACAATAGTATCATAGGACTAAAGAAGATGCAGTCTCTACCGCCTCCCCTGCTGAAGCAGCTACCGGTGCTGCCTCCTCTGATAAGTATTCTGATCCGAGCCATTTGCCCTTATCGTCCAATCTGCCAACAACAGAGGAATCTTCCCACCTTTTATCATAAATAGAAGGAGAACCCTTTCTATTGTAGCTTCTCGGGACTCTACTCCCTTACCGAAGTAGCTACCTCTNGACGACCAGGTGTTTCATCCGATTAAACCCCGAGAGTAAAAACGTCTCTACATTTGAACCCTCCCCTTTATGCGTATGCGCCCGATTCCTTTGTCTTGTCCTGGTGGAGCTGCTGCCCAAAAAGGGATGGATCATTGCCAGGCATTGGTTCGTAAACCCATTATAGGTCCGAATCCTGTTTATATTGATGAGAATTCCCTCTTTTGAGACTAATATGGATGAAAATTATGACAAATATGTTAGGATCTCCTTACAGCTAATCTTTCAAAGGAGCAAAGCCAATTGGCATCAGTAAAAGGTGGCGGCGTAAGCAGGCTCAGGTAAAGGTTCAGGCAACCCGAGTTAATATCAGTAAACCGGTTAAGGAGTCAATCCTTGAGCTAAAGATGTTGTTGCTGATGAGCCGGTACCAGTCCTTTAGTTGTTCGAAAGCAGCCTTATTAGAGGATATCGATATGGGATAGCTTACCAGTTCTCAGTTATTCCTCATTCACTGATACCCTTGTTGTTCCTTGCCCTCATACCGTATAGAACATGCATTAAACAGCCTGAAAGGACATCAATGAGCTAATCCTTCCCACGCTATCTTGACAAACAGAACAGCGATCCATACACAGGTAAAAGCCCTCGCTACTGTTTGTTAAATGATATGGGCGATCGTATGGCACAGTTAAACCCTAGCTACAGGGAGCTAATGAATGACAACACGGTCCATGATACGGTACAGGCACTATCTACTGGTAATGAGTTCTTCTTTCGCTAGCTACTAGTGGTTAATGAACCAGCGATTACAGGTAAGCCCTCGCTATATGAGATGTTTCCGAGTTAACCGCTAGCTATAGTTCCTTCCCCTCATATTTTATTACTAAGGGCAGCTTCCACACTTGCCGGTGTAGGGACTGGTGGCAGATTTCACGTTTTCACCAGTATTCACCGCCACGGCCTTCTTGTCTGCACATATCCTACAGCACTTGAACGTCCAGCCATTTTTTGATTTATTTTTGACATTTGTCAATAGATAGGGCGCCGAACGCGGGTTGATCTGACAACCGTGAAAGGAATGTGCAGTTTCCATGGATTCTTGTATGCCGGTGCATTGGCTAGCGCGCCTATTTCGCTAGTAATACGCACTTCGAAGCGGCCATTTCTCAACATATCTATCTACACAAAACCCGAGCAAGGATCGGCCCAGGCACGGGTGACCTCACAACCGTGTAGACTTGACATGTGGAGTTTCATTATATACGAGATTTTGTGATCAGTAAACTGTCTCGAATCTACAGTTGTTGTTAAACCATAAGCCCGAGTCTTATCAGTTCTCAGGTCAGGTAGGCGGAGCTCAGGTATCGGGTACAGGCGGAGCATCAGGTTTGGGACAGGCGGTAGCCATACGTTCGAGGGTTCGTTTTAAGCCCTTTAGTGTATATAGTAAATTCGTCCTCGGGGCTAGTTGCTTAGCTTGTTCATAGAGGGCTGGACTTGCTGGCTGGGATAGAGGCTTAGCTTGAGAGCTGGTTTGCAAAAGATCCCAATTCTAAGGATAGATCTAGGGCTGGTCGGAAAAATCCTTCTTCTTTTGTTCTAGATCAAATAGAGTTAGAGCTAGTTGCTGAGCTTCTAAGCTTCGAAAAAGAAGACAATCAAGATCGATTGTTCTAAAGCTACTAGTTAAACGACTAAAGGAGCGTAGGTCTTCATCTACAGCTCTGTCCTCTCTCTTTTTATTGGCATTGGAAACGCATTCTTTACTTTTTAATTGATCTACGAAACGTCCTGGCGAAAGCTCCTATATAACCCACACTGCCTCTACGTATGCTTGCAGGAGAGCAAGCGCTTCTTCCGCTACCTTAGCTACAGCGACAGGAAAACCCCTTAAGAAAGGTCAGCAACGTCTATATCTGTCCTAACAAGGAGGTCTCTTCCCCCTTTAAGGCTCTAAAGTTCAGGTCCGAATCGATACATCGGCTGCTGCAGTACTACGGACTCGGAAGTTTTTGAATTCCTGAATCTTAGGATTTGAAAAAGAAATCTCAGACCTACCTTCAGGCAACCTGGTATCGGGAGGGAAGGAAAGGAATAATAATTGGAAAATCGCCTTTCTTTGTCTACGAATAGGCTGCCCAAAATAGGGCCTTTCGGTCGAGACAGTTTTCTTTTTCTAAACACCGCCTTTTTCTTTAAGAGAAGAATAGAGGATCGAAGTAGCCTAGGTCCTATCCCATTGGCAGCCGGTAGACGAGGACGAGTCTTCATTTGCACTTCTTTATTTATGATGAGAGAGCTGAACCCGAATCCTCCTCTTCTTCCAGGAATCCTTCCAAGACTGACCCATAGATCAAACTCAAACTAGGGACTTAGATAATCCTTATTGCCTGCCCAAGGGTGAAAATCAAATCAGCGTAAGAGGTGCCACTAAGACCTATATAGGGCTCCCTAAATAAGTAGGAGAGAGAGTCCCATGCATCGAGGATAAGATCTGACCAAGCTTGACTTAGAACTCCTTATCTCACTCCTTCTACAAAGCGCATCATGGCTACCTTACCCCTATCTCTTTGAATCATAGGGACTACCTTGCCTTGTGCTTGTCTGACCTTAGCTTCACAAGGATACTATTCTAACTCACTGGCCTTTGACATCTATGCTCCTCAATAAGATCCTTAGTTGGGCTCCCTACTCTTTTGACGTGCTACCAAGACCACTCTCTTCTCTCTTCTTCTTTCTATTCTATTTTCCCAATAAATGCCTTCATTTCATCCATCCTTGCTTTCATAAGTCTTTGCCCTTACCCCGGGTAGGATAGCGCATTAAGCGCTTGGGGTTTCAGAGGTATCAACAGAGATGTGATGTGTTCAGTCTGATAGTTATGCCAAAGCTCTTCCTAAGACACCTACACTAGTAGCTAGCAGTCCATCGAAGAAAAAGAAACCTAGGCTGCTGCCGTTCAGTCCTTTCTTGGAGTTCTTGTGACGATGTCTAAACCAGGGAATTAGAGTCTGGTCTGGGAGTTAGGACTCAGGAGATGGGATTCCTCCCCTTCCGATGGAAGAGAGGTCTTTAGACCAATTGACCTAGAAAGCAGTGAATGAAAAAGCCCCTTGTAGACTGGATCTTCAGCTTTGTTGCCTTTTCCCTGGCGTAAGTAGCATCGAGTTAGATCGGCATCAACTCTTTCGCTAGAGTAAGAACAAGACAACGAGAAAGGGCAAGTAGGGCGATAGAGTCCAACGCTAGGAGATACGCAGCTAACAAAGCAAGGATCGATTTCAGTTCGGATTAACGTTCGGGTATTCGTGGCGCTAGGGAGATTCTCCGAGACTACTAATAAGAAGGTACGACTAACCGGCGAGTCGCTGATAGAGATAGGCCCAAACACAGATTCGATTTAGGCTTACTTACCGAACCAACGCTTTCCCATACGGTTTACCTGCCGCTTTGGGGATACCACTGACACGCCGACACAAGGCAAGGCACCGAAGGAGGAAGTAAATCCATGTTTTTAGCGAGCGAGGTCTCTCGAGCAAACTCCTCACATAGGCACAGAAAGGCTCTCCGTAAACAAAGTAAGGCCCTATCCTTGATTATATTCAATTAAAGCAGAATGAACTCTTTATCTTGCGTATTAGGATTGCTCTACTCAGGTTTACGCTTGCTTTCCCTTCCTTCTCTCTAGCAATTATGAAAGCAAAGTACGGACAGATATCTGGAAGAATTCCTATTGATAGAGGGAACCTAGCTCTGGTATTCTTCCTATTAATAGCAGATGCTCGATCCTTTATATGGAGACCGGAGCATTATTGTTATAGATAAAAGGGCGGTACTACTCCTATTGTACGAAGGCGTCCGTCCTACGTCTTGCCTCAGTTCTATTCCGTCGATGATTCGATCTCTTGAGCAATTGCCTCTCTATAATAGGATAATGATATCACAGATATGCCGCACCTCGCCTTGGGAGAAAGGGGGAAGCTTTCAATTCAACCCACCTCTATTTAGTGTAGTATAGAACTGCTTCATGCCTGGTTCGCTTTCGACTTTCTAGGCAGGATTAACATAAAGGTAGATGTAGAAGGAAATGGAAAATCGAAATTTCTTATAAAGAAGAATAGTATGTCGAAAGGGCAAATTAGAGTCTAAAGAAGGGACTCAAGTTATGAATAGACTTCTGAGCGACTTAGGAGATTGTCTTGGTGTGTAGTGTAATGGCATTTACGAATGGTTGTAGAAAGGCGCTATTACAATTGCCCTCTTCTTTTGGACTTGAGACAGAAAGCAAGTATCCAACAAGGGAGATCTAGGATCGAGAAGAGGACTTTGAATAGAAAGCTGCTAGAACGAATAAAATGAGTAAACTTTCGAGATTATGATAATAAGAAAGAAGATGGTCGAGCTTTTGGATTAGGATCGATGTAATTGAGAGGATACGAAGACTGAAAGGATTCCTCTCCTTGACGTCGAGCATATTAAATAACCTTTCCTTGACTTTGCTTCGAAAAGTTTGTACCTTTCCTCTTAGGCGCAATCGATCTAGTTTAAACGAGTTTCAACAGGTGGATCGATGTAATTGACCACTACAGCACACTTCGCGCCACAAAGAGCCTAGTGAGGGAGGGAAGCTAGCCTATCCGAGAGGGACCGATTCAGCTCTTTCAGAGCCTCGCTCCTTGATCCGTGGAGGCTCGACGAAGCTCTTGCTAGTCTTTCTCGGAAAGAATCTTAGATACCCCCCGTGCCCAAGGTCGAATATGACGACTCGTAGTCCGTCAGCTTCTTTCTCAGGTAGTAATCTTTTCTTTCTCGGGGAATGAGCCGACAAATGAAGCAGCGAGTTCCATGAACGAATCCAACATGTGCGAAGTCGAAGGCAAGTGATCGAATCTATCATCTCTTTCTGAACTTCTATTTCCAGAAGGGGGGAGACATTCCGACGCGGGGGTTCTATTCTCCAAACGAAGCGAAGTTCAGTCATAAAGCTCCACGGCTAGATCGAGTGACTCCGAAATCCAGGTGCATCAAGCTGGAAACAGATGCAAAGGGTCGATGTAATTGACCTCACCTTAACTCCTAGGAGTAGCTGCCTAGGCTAGTTCGTTAGTCTGTTTCGGACTAGCTAGTAGGAGGCTCTGAAAGACCAGCCTATATATAGTAAAGGCAACCCAAAGGAGAGCAAAGTGAGACCCATGTAATTTAGAAGCGAAGCGAAGTTCAGTCATAGACATTTGAGGTAAGTTAGAGTATGTTCTGACATAAGCTTATCCTCATACAAACTAAGGAACTGAACATGATCTAGGTGTAATTATCAAGTGACCTTTAGATTAGTCTATGATCAATGTAATGCATGCATGTATTGAGCCTTGGCAAAACTCGTAATTGAATCTCTTTCTTATCAATTTCTTGTTTTAATCTTGCTTTTGAACTTTGTCACTATCACCTTCACCATTACTCCCACTACTGTTGAACATATCAACAACAAGTGTACACATCCTTCCCTGTGGGATCGACCTCACTTACCCTAGCCTATAGGTACATTAGTGTGAGTAGAGTAAAGTAATTTGATTGCCCCACGACAGGTCAATTACACCTTTCCTTCACTGCGCTTCGCTAGCTTCCTTCTCTTCGTAACAGTAGCTTCGTAGCCGGTGTAGCTACCCATCCATTCCTAGTTGTGAAAAGAAAAGCTCGCTCAGTCCGGTTCGGTCCAGGTCCAGCGTATGGGTACGGTATGGAGCCACGGTTTTGGTCGCAGACCCTTTCATCGTCTTAAGAGGTCAAAGGGAGAGATCGACTATGCTCTAAGTGCCACTCCCTCAGTATTAGCCCCCGATTTATGGGAGCTGTGGAACGAGGGTCCTGTCATTTCAGGTGGATAATCAGTTTAGAGATGGGACTAGTCTTTCGTCTCCCTTGGTGTCCGGCCTCTTGTAGCCCTTCGTGGAATGTCCGATCATACAGCTAGCGTTCTTCGCCTACCCGACATTAGGTACACTCGGCACTCTTATCTTCGGATCCTGTTCGCTCAGAGGATCGGTAATGGGGTCAAATCCACATTCCCTTTGGGTGTTCTCGAACACTACTATAAGTGACCACTCGATCACACTCCAAGAATGACTATTTCTGAGATTTAGGGGCGTTACTGTGCCCTCTTTTGAGCCTCCCCATTAGAGAAATGAAAAGAAGGAAAAAGAGAGAAAGAGAGAAAGAAGCTTAACTCACTCTACTTCTCAGTCGCAGCATGTGAAGGCTATATGCTTAACACATGCAAGTCGAACGGGGTCGTTTCATGGAAAAAGGTTGGGTTCGATTCCCAAGGCCCCGATGGTTCCGCATTCCAATGTGGGTAGGATTAGCCAGGGATGAGTGACCTGGTTCCCCGCCTTGGATGTCTTGCTTTGAATAGAACTAGTTGATGAACCAAGCACTGGAGGAGAGCAAAGTGAGACTTGACGCTACAAGGAGAGGAGAGGATTATTCGTTTCGATTCAAAGGTCATTTTGGGCAGTTCCGAGCGTCTCAATCAAAGACCAGTTGCTCCTGCTTCTACCACTCGCTCACTTGCCATCATTTCTTCTCTCTCTGACGAGAATTCCTTTTATCGCATAGCATCCCACCTTCTTGACATAGTTTCCGCCCAACTTTAAGCGAAATCTCGACTTCCAGAATTATACCCTTCGGGTAAAGTGGTAACACGAGCCTGGATGAACATTTTGAATGAATCTGGGACAAGTCAAAATCTTTCAACTTCTCATCGGATCCACGTGATAAAGATTCTTAGCCTCGGCGCGAAAGGTTCAGAGAGGAGAGCAAAGTGAGTCTCGACTGAAAGGAGAGGAAGTGAGACTCTAAAAAACGAAGCGAAGTGAAGTCAAGAGGGAAAGTACCTTGGATAGCGGTTCTTCTTGGACCAGGGCACGCCCAGGGTCAAATACGTGGTTTCGTTGGTTAACCAGCTTGCGCTTTCGATTTCGATTTTCATTCCCTCTTTTCCTGCTTTCCTTACTGCACAAACTCTCACTCAGTTATTGAAGATAGAGAAGAACGAGTTTGCCGCCACTCCTTCAATTACACCTTCCCGAAGTGGTGCTTGTCCTAAGCGCTGGTGAAAAGGCTCAAAATTCCTGGATCGGGACAGGAATAGTGGATCTGTCTGGGTCAGGTGCTACGAAAAAGGGGAAGGGGAATTGACTTTTCACCCACCCGCATTGTTGGCTGGAGGTCAATTATATCGAACCTTCTCTCTTTGCACTATCTATTTAACTACGTCCTACCTTGACTTCAGCAAGCAAAAGGCTTAACGTTAGTTATTATGCCATCGAGCCTCCC